TTTTTCATGAAAAATAATTATTAAAAAACCATTTCTACTTTAATGAATTCTCAGATACCTTTAAAGCCACATACTGTACTAATTATATCACATCTCTACAAATTGTTAACAAATGTCATGCAAATAAGATATAACTTGCTGCTAATAAATTGTGTACCTACTATAAAATACATAGCATAAGAATGGAGTACGTGCTCATTAGGAAAGCCAAACATACAGTGACTGATCTACTGCATCTGAGAAATCTGCTATTTAACCAAAATTCGTGCATTGTTAATGCATCCATGAGATGTATCTACGTATACATTCTCCAGTGAACATCAAGCGTCTTGTAACGCGTCCTAATTAGCAGTAAGATGCGTCCTAATTGACGAATGTTGTTTTGATATCATAACGTTCGCTAACATGATTCTAGACATCGTCGACTTCTCGTATTAGTAATTAATTCGGTAGTACATCAAACGCATCAGATTGAAACGGCTTCGTCCCGTGATCCGTCCATCATAAATCATCTCCCGTGCCATTTGGAATTTCCGTGTGTCATGGCCTATTGCAAATACCAATGTCAAGAGAATTTCCTATTAGCCAATCGATCGAACACAGTACGGTTTGAACGGTGTCGACCTTCTTCCGTTTCACACGATCAGATCACTTCTGGATATTAACAGATTAGGTGCCATGTGTACAGTCAACAGTAAATCTCACTTTCCTACCGAAAATATCGCAACCGAGGAGGAACAAGTATATCAGCCGTTCATTTTTAGAGATTTTGGAGGATTTAATCATTGTGAGATATAAAAATATAAAGATTGGAATACTTAAAAATTTAGAAATGCAGGAAGTTGGCAATCAAAGAAATTTCAGATGCAGGGATTCTAAGATACAGGGATTTTGGGGTATAGGCATTTTGGGATATATGGATTATAAAATATAGGAATTTGAGGATGTTCAAATTTGTGAATAAAGGATATTCAGGATATTAAGTAGGGAAGAAATGTAGGGAATAAGAATGTAGGGATTTAGAGATGTGGGAATTTAGAGACGTAGAGATTTGGGATGTACATATAGATTTAGAGATGTGGGAATTTGGAGATGTAGGGATTTGAGGGATGTAGGGATCTGAAGATGTAGGAATTTGAAGGTGTAGGGATTTTGGAATCTAGGGATTTAGGGATATAGGGATTTAGAGTTATCGAAATTTAAAGATGTGGGGATTTGGAAATGTAGAAACTTTGGGATGTAGAAATTTGAAAATATAGAAAGGTGAAGCTAAAGAGATTGTGGAATGTAGGTATTTCAGTCCTAGGAATTTTGAAACTTAGAAGTTTGAGGATTTAGAAATTTAAAATTCCAGAAATTCGGGAATAGTGATATTTGAAAATGTCGGTACTTAGACATCCAATAATTTGGTAATTTGGAAATCTGTAACTTTAAAAGTTTGAAAACAGAAGTTGAGTTTGGAAATATGGAAATGAAGGATGTATTCGAGTGAATGCTCTACTTAACGGTTAACTTCATTTTTTTAAATGGAATCGTATGTCTTTGAACGTTTAATGAATTTATATCTTTTATACTTTCTTGTGTTTACAATCTTAAATGGCCTTCAATGATCTCGAATCTCTATATTCGTCGAAATTGTTTTCAAAATGACTACAGTTACAGGTCTTCAAAAATATACGGTTCTACATGAAAAAATTTAGTTGACCTTCAAATCTCTTTTACGCATACATCTGAAAAAATGTTTTTTGTACCACGTAATGGGACCCCTTAAAATTAAACAATTTTTGTATGAGACATTTCTTCCTATTTTAAATAATATAGAAGTTATCAGGTAGGCATGTCATAAGTGATTCCCTCTATATGTATATATGTAGTTTATATTAACATGTATGTTTGAATTCAAAGTATGAACTGACATAAATGAGCTTGTGATAAAAACTGCTAAATAATTGTATAGAATAATACATATGTGGTGAGAATTTGACGCACAATGTATTAAATGTATATGTATGTGTATATACGCTATTATTGTATTCTAATCAAACATATACATATATACCTACGTTATTATTATACTCAATGATATCATCGATTGACATGTAATTAGACTATGTAGAGTAATTACCATATCGTGTACCTTTGATTGTACATATGGTACAATGATCAGCTTCGAAACGCTGTATTATTAATGTTTGGACGTCAAATGCTGAGTGGATCAACACCTAACCTCAAGTTTGTCATGAATCGAGTTGAGATCGACACTTTAGTTGTAATATAATGTACAGCTCGTTGTAACGTTCACTTATTTCGGATACAGAAAATTGCAAGAGAAACAACGTCTTATTACATTTCTTCTATTTTGAGAATATAATATTGAACACATTTTTAATTGTTAACTTCCTAGCCTACAAGTTTTTCGGCAGATGCGTCAGTCAAAGCTACCTAATTATTACTGCATTTTTAAGGTAAATAAAGAATGATGAAATGTTAGGTACATTTTAGATTGAGCGATCTTTAATTATATAAACTGCAATTGGCATGATATTCAAAATTTGATCTTTATGCGAATACGATTTCGTTTTGCCATTTTTGAACGGTAACGTGCGGCACGAGTCTGACTCAATGTTATAGACTAACAATAAGAGGATAAATAGTGTATTTTTAAATCTTTATATTTTCAAGTATATAAATTATCAAATTACCAAGGGAACAAATTGCGAAATTATTAAATTATCAAGTTACCGAGTCACAAAGTTACTAAGTTGCTAAATTATCAAGTTACCAAATTACCAAGTCATCAAGTTACCAAGTTACAGAAAATCACAAAATTTAAACAGCTAAAAATTTGAAAACTTCAAAGCTTAGTAGCTTTACTGTTTATTAGTTTGTTAATTTAGAAATTACGAAATATAGTACCCTTGAAATTTTCAAATTTCATCATTTGGAAAATTTATTATTTTGGAAGCTAGACACTTGATTATTCAGGTATTAGAAATTTATTGACATGGTACATTGGTAATTTGGAAGATGTGAAACTTATAAACATGATTAGTTGATGATTTAGAAATTTTATAATCTGAACATTTGAAAATTTCAGAATTCATAAGCTTGATGATTTAAAAATTTCTTTCCTATTTTTTTACATAATAATTCAGTGTATGTCATATATAATAATTCAGTGCTTTTCCTATTTTTTACATAATAATACATAAAAATTCATTATTTTTTTAGTATAGACCACTTTGTCAATTTTACTACTATAAATCACTCACCACTTGAACTTTTACTTTAACAATGAAATTCAATTATAACAATTAGATGTCATATTCGCAAGTAGCAGAGATTCAGCATTTCCGATACTTCAGCTCGCATAACGAGGCCAAGACGTATCGATGAGCTAATTCGTTTGAAAACAATTCGCTTCCAGCAGAATACGTGTTCGAGTGACAAGTGATTACCTCAGCAAGTGTCAAGTTGCACTCCAATTGGTTAAATTGCAGTTGTGCGATATCTGCATAGACGCTAGGAGTATTCGAACATGGCTGCAGCTACTGCACTATGTACTGTCTAACTTACCCTTGTGTCGGATCAATTGAATTCAAATGACTGTTTCGGTTTACATCAGACCCTGTGGGTTCAGATTTGCGACGCAAGCTCAATAATATTAAAGTGTAATTTTCTGCCATATTGCAATAACCTTCAACTTCGATTGAAGGGTTATTAAGGAATTTGAAAATTTGAAATTTCAGTATTTGGGAATTTTGGAATATTGGAATTTTCAAAATTTTGCAAATTTGGGAATTTGAGAATTTGGGAATTTGGAAATTTTTGAAATTTTGGAATTTGGGAATTTTGGGATTTCGGTAGTTGGAAATTTGTGAATTTTGGAATTTGGGGATTTGTGAATTTGGGAATTTGTGAATTTTGGGATTTCGGAAGTTGGAAATTCGGAAAATTAGAATTTTGGAATTTCGGAAGTTGGAATTTTGGAATTTGGGGATTTTTGAATTTGTGAATTTGTGAATTTGGGAATTTTGGGATTTCGGAAGTTGGAAATTCGGAAAATTAGAATTTTGGAATTTCGGAAGTTGGAATTTTGGAATTTGGGGATTTTTGAATTTGTGAATTTGTGAATTTGGGAATTTTGGGATTTCGGAAGTTGGAAATTTGGCAATTTGGCAATTTAGAAATTTAAGTATTTGGAAATGTATGAGCTTTGGAATTTTTGAATTCCGGTCTGGAATTTTAGTCTTGAGGAATTGCGAAGTTGGAAGTTTGCATACTTATGAATTCGGTAATTTGATGATTTGGAAACTTAAGAATTCGGAAGTTTGAAAATTTGTATATTTCAGAATTCAGAACTGTGAAAAATTAGATACTTGAGGATTGGAAAAACTGTAAATTTGTGAATTTGCGATGTAAAACTTTTATTGACTCGAGAATGAGGAAATTTCTAAATCTGTAAATTTGAGTATTTAGAGACTTTAGAATTCAGTAATTTTTAAACTTGAAGACTTAAGAGTTCGAAAACTTAAATTTAATAGATTAGAGATTTGACCAATTTTTATTTGTCTCATCGAAAAGCAATACAACCTGAATTTTATATTTTTGTCATGATCTCTAAACGAAGTATTGGAAATTATTTGTTAATACTACTTTATTTCACTTTTACTCTTTTCTTATTATTTATAAACCTTAGCAATAAAAATTGATAAATCTTATAATATCCAGTACATAAATCGGATATCAAGGTTTTAATAAAATTTTCAAATAATGCACAATCGTGCACTTATTACTTTACCCTAATTATGGTCATTTATAATCAGTGAATAATTGTATTTATAGTCAATTATGATTATTTTGTTATTTGTTTTGCTGCGATACTAATATTCCGTGTTCATAGCAGCGAGTCTGCACATTTAATACGCATGCTGAATAGAAGAAAGAACAATTAAATTTTGTAAGCATCGTAGTAGAAAGAGAATGCCATCGTTTTCCAGATACACCAGTTTGCAAAGAAGGCAGAAGCGAGGTGGTCGTGGGCGCTCTGAAACAGGAAACCGTATCGTTGGTTTGTTCCGTGGAGAGTCATCCAGCACCGTTGACTTTTCACTGGACATTCAATAATTCTGGAGAGCTGGTGGAGGTTCCCCATTCTCGTTACTCCCATGTGCCAGCTCCTGGGACACCGTCCGTTGCCGAAAGCCTGAAGGAGTATCAACAATTCCATGGTTCCAGGTTAAACTACACGCCTGCGACGGAAATGGACTATGGCACTGTAGCATGTTGGGCGAGCAACCAAGTTGGAAAGCAACGAGCACCGTGTCTGTTTCAAGTAAGTACATTTTCCACTTTTCCCCTCGACTGTGTTTGTTTAGCTTACGATTTTCACGAACAGGCTGCGTAAGAGATAAAAAAACGCGAGTTGAAACGAGATTAATCCTATGGGGATCACGATATTTCGGATTTTTTCAGTCTTAGAGAACTTCTAACAATAAGTCTCTATCTAAATTATATTCCAGAGATTTCAGGAGTTTAGGGACTTTGGAAATTTTTCATTTCGAGATTTTGGAAGTAGCAAAACTTTGTGATTTTTAAATTTCGAAATTTTGATATTTGATGATTTGGAGATTATGCTATTTCGCGATTTAGTTATTTCGTCATTTTGATATTTCGATGTTTCGACATTTCGATATTTTCCAATTCTAAGATATTTTAGAAATTCCCGATTTTGAGATTTTGTGATTTCGAGATTTAAAAAATTTTCAGATTTTTATATTTTTAAATTTTAGTTTCTAAAATTTCTGAAAATCGGGAAAATTGAGTATACCCGAAAAGTTTGGAAAACTTAACAAATTTAGAGAATTTGGAGAATTTAGGAAACAAAACAGAAAATTTAGAAATTAAGAAAATTTAATTTATAGATTTTAGGAATTAACAATATTAATAAAATTAAGATGTAATATAGCTTAAAAAATTTAGTTATTTTGAAAATATGAAGTAATTCTACATCCCTTATAACAAATATCAGGAAACAACATACATTGAATAACATAATAATATGAAATAAATATGAAAATAAATATGAAAATTAGTTCTAGATACTCGTTTTTAATGTAAAAAGCTACTATATTTCAAAGGAACCACTATTCGGAATGTAGTATTTTATTTTCTTCTCTTAATTGCCGTTGCCTTTATCGCAGTTATTGTACGTGTCATTTTATTTGAGATAGCGCTTTCGTGGTACAGAGATAAAGCAAAAGATTCGACTTTATGTATTCTGTGTTTGAACACGATTTGACCATTTCCCAAATGATGCCACCGTACTCATGTGTGGTGAAGTAGAATATCCTCTCCATGAACGAATCGAGAGAGATGAAACCTGGCACGTGATTTCAATTTTGCTAACAAAATAAGTTTCTGTTGGTATTGAAGCATGGGGAAATATTATCTTGAGCAGTGTATTATATTTTGCGAAAGTATAAGTTTAATTTGTTTCTAGATGAATTTTCTTTCATTTCATATGAAAATATGTATACAATTTACGTATACTATAAATTAATACAATTAGATTAAACAAGGGATATCTAGGTCTTATTTATTTAAACAACAGAATTATTATAAATGTATTTGCTAAATTATAGTAATTGAATTATACTAACATTGAAGTATAGGAGTCTCATAAGTCAGAAATTCTTAAATGTAGAAATTTCTAAATTATCAAATTTATCAATTTGTAAATGTAGAAACTAACACATTTATGAATTTACAAATTTACAGATTTGAAATCTTTAATATTTTAAATCCTGAAAGTCTAAAAATTTAAACATTATAAATTTTGAAGATAAATAATTTTTAAATATGCGGAATTTAAAAATTGGAAATATTCAAGTTTGGAAATTTTACAAACTCTCAAATTTACTATTCTAAGAATCCATAAATTTAAACATCACATGAAATTAGAAGGTATTTAAATTTTCAAATTTCCAAAATTTAACATTTTCAAATTTAAGAATTTACAGGTTTTCAAATTAAGAAATTTTCAATTTTAAGCGTTAGAAGTTTATAAACTAAAAACTAAAAAAACTGAATACACGAATATTTAACTTGCGGATTTTTAAATTTTCAATTTCGCACATTTCCAAGAATTGGAGAAACCTTTATCTATACTAAAAATTCCTGCAGGCAATGTTTCAATTATTTTTTCTATTTCGCAGTAACTTTTTATTCGATAAAAAGAATCTATATTTCTAATCTAAAAATCCCTGAATATATACCATATTTCTATGGTATCCGTAGCGGGTGTATAAAAACTACGAGAAAAAAGGATTATTAATTCTACGCGTAGTAGTGGCATGGTACTTTAAAATTACATTGATACACAGAGTGTTAGCTCAATAATCCATTTTTTATCGGGAGGTAGATTGCAGAATACGGTTGAAAAAATCAGATTCGATTTGGTTCGATTAGAGAGAAACGCTGACGCCACTTCGCCGGTACGTCGCAGATTGAACGTGTAAACATGAAATTGCTTTTAATGGTTTAGAATCAAATTTCTTTGGAAATAGAAAATGTTCAATCAAGATAGATGTTTGATGGACATCTGCCGACTTTCACGTTTGCCCGTATTCCACGTAATACTTGATAGATTTACTCTCCGTTGCACCCTTTTTCAATTTTCGGAAACAAGATACGTGCTCGAAGTTTTACGAACAATAGTATTATAGTAAGAAAATAATCTGTTAGAAATTGCGTTTGGAAGAACTATTTGTTGATTGTATAAACTTTGGTATTCATTTAACATGTTCAGGGTAGAACTTTAGGATATCAAGGAGACATAAGATGGTGTCAATAATTTTGCAATAAATTTACATTTCCAAATTTAAATTCTCTAAAACACCTGATACAATGAAACTTGTCTACCCTTAATTTTTAATACAAGCTAAAATATACCAAAAGGAACTCATTAAATATTCTCAATGTGACACAAACGTACATCTATTTATTTGCTAAAGACGCCATTCAGAACTAGCATACCAAATGTAACAATGATACATTGTTTAGGTCATAGCTGCTGGTCGACCATACGCTCTGCACAACTGCAGCGCAACAGAAATGTCAGCACCGTTGGATGCTGAAGAATTGAACGCAAAGTCTGGAACCGGCCTACTGGTGCGCTGCTTAGAAGGATATGACGGTGGACTTCCGATTTATAGTTACCAATTGGAAGTCGTCTCTGACGAAGACGGACCGATATTGCTGAATAAAACTGTTCCAGCGGGTCCAAATGGACCCACGTTCGAAGTAGCGGGCCTAACGACAGGAAAGAGTTACCGACTTTTTCTGTACGCGATTAATGCGAAAGGGAGGAGCGAACCTGCCATTCTGGAGCCAGTGACCCTAAAGGGTGTCGCCATGTACACGACGGGTGAGTGCATTGACTTTCTAATATATGTCGCATTTAGCTGAAGAGATTGATTGCACATCATGATAAGAAACAGTAAATAGGTTAATCAAGTACAAACTGGTCTGTTGCCAAAATTGTTGGAGTAGTAGAATCATTACCAATGGGTCTACAAAGTAATCAGGACTCTGAAGTTCTTCCGACTTTGACTTTCTTGAATTTGGAGAGCTTATTTTAACGGGTTCCTTTGACTTTTCGAAGTTCTTTTGATCTTGAATTTCCCTCTGCAGCTGTTTGATACGCGAACATCAATTTCCGTACAATAACCGTTTCCAGTATGTGTTCTTAATTTATCGAATTTGGCAAGCCATCATATAAATATAATTTGTGATTTTAGTGACTTCTTTGGTTTAAAGTCATGTCGACTTTGACTTTCTCTGTGTAGCTGCTTGCTATACAAGCAACAATATTACTGCAATCACTGTTCCCAGATTTTGTATATTTTCTTACATTGAGTGAGCTTCATGATTCTTACGGGTTTCTTTGAGTTTCTAAAGTTCTTCTGACTTTGATATTTTCTCTGCAGATATCAGCCAGACAAGCAATAATTTCTGTACAATGCTTTTAACGGGTTTCTTTGACTTCCTGAAGTTCTTTTGACTTTGATTTTCTCTTGCAGTTGTTTGCTAGATGCGAAATAACTGTTTCGATTTGGTATGTTTTTCTTTTAGTGAGCTTTATGACTTTGTTACTTGTAAATTGTGAAGTTTAAGTGGCCTGCGTAGACGGTGTATTAGGCAACGGTTCACCTCAAATTATACCAGAAGCGATTTCTGTGGCTACTTGTTCGCGTTTCAACAATAATTGATACTATTTTACGCTACCGCTCGTACGTTTAATACGAAATAAAAAGCAAAAGAGAAACATATGTAAATGAATAAACTTGATAGTCTAGTGTTGAAATCAATTCGTTTGTCCGCTTCTGAACTGCATCATCCTCAACTAAAATTCATTGCAAATTTTCATTTAAATTTTTATATTCCTAAATTTTAAATTATCAAGTTACTTTATAAATGACTAAATTATTAAATTGATAGATTATCAAATTACTAAATTATTAAAGTAAATTATCAAATTACTGAATTATTAAATTAAATTATCAAATTACTAAATTACTAAATTAATATAATTATTATATAAACCAATCACTAAAGTATCGAATTACCGAATCACCAAATTATCAAATAATCAAATTATTAAATTATCAAATGATTAAATTATCACATTATTTAATTTCAAAATTTTTAATTTACTTTTATGTCCCCAGTAGTACAACTTCACTTTTCGCTTTCTATATTCACACAAATATTTTTATATCTTTCCTTTCCTTTTACAGAAACATTTTAAAAATATTTTGCAAGTGAAAATTAATGTACAAAGTAACATCTTAAAATATTCCCAAGAAATTGAATTATGTCTTACATGCAGTAGGCCTTTGATATTCCGCCGTGTAGCGTTATTAACGCACGATAAAATCCGCGTAAAAGTAGCGGCATAACGAGAGCCGGCCGTATTTTTATCGTAATTACAGTCGCACCGGTTATTATAACATATGAGGACTTGCTGAAGTGGACTAATTGTTAATGAATTCTGAGAAAGTGCTTTAATTGCGCGTATTAATAACGCGCAGGGGTAGGCACATAATTACAAAACATGTTGTTTGCTTCGTTTGGTAATAAGTGTAGTAACGTTCTGTTCGACTACATCAACACAGAATAAACCAGGCTTTAAAGACCTCGATTTAAATCTTTATGCTATTCGATCGATCGTGCAGTTACTTTTGTGGTACACGTTTCATGCATTAATAAGAGCAACTGGTGATCACGCAATCATTTGAAGCAGAAACAATTAACCGAAAGACTCCACGATAACTAATTAACGACGCAATTATTGCTTGTTTGATTGTTTTCTCGATATACTAGCCCTATACTGTAACTCTAATTACGGGTATGCTCCAGATTTTAAAGCTGAATGATACGGATCTTTTCATTTCTTTCTTTTTCTGTGAAATATTCTCGTTTGAAATATTCTTTTTTGTAGAAAAAAATTTTGTACTGAATAGAAAAAATTAAATTACATTTAAAAAATCAATCTATACTCAATCGATATGTACTGAACTACGATAAAAAATCTTTAATACAATAAATTTTAATCTAATTAAAAATTTTAAAGAATATTTTGTGATAAATATTATAATAACTGATATTAATTTTAGAATTAAATAATAATTTTCAAAAATTAGTGATTATAATTAAATAATAATTTTGAAACTTATTTTAACTAATAAGAAGCTTATACCTTTGGTCTCTACCTGTTCTTATTTTATTAAACTTATAGCAATACATAGTAAATGTCAATTTTTTTATAATACGAAAACAATTATATTTATAACATTACAGTCATTATTAGATAAAGAACTGTATTATTTCACGAAAGAAAAAAAATTCTTATCTGAAAAAAGAGATACCCGTGTTTACGTGATAAATTTAAGTAGATACTTAGATACACAAAAATGTTCAAACAATCTTAACTGCCGGTCTAGTGTGAATCTTTTATCAAGTTTTGTTATTTCAAGTAAAGAATTTCTGAAAACGGAGTTGAATGTTTGTATCTACGTTCCCGTAATTCAACTGTGACGGGGTTATTTACATTATCGAATCCAGTAAAATGTCGAGAAGTTTTCTCGTTACCGAGGATGATTATTTTCGTATTATCTGCAAGGAGGGAACGGAAGACAGAGAAAACTGGGACGCTCGTGGAGCGAACTTCTTGCCGTTAACAAAACGAGAAGAGAAAAGAAACGGAACATCCGGTAAATTTGAAGACTCGGTCATGAGTCTGTTTTCCAGTTTTGTCCGATTAACGACGAAGAAAATGATCGAAATGGACTATAAATTGGAAAGTACAGTTGAGGATGGTATCCAGTTCGTTTTATTGAGTATCGAGCTGGGGTTTAAATGCATCTTTCGTGGCCTTATTTTCTGCCGAAGGCAATATTCGATAATCGTTATCAAGGCTCTTTGTTTTCGTACAGTTCGTTAAACAGGAACGTTAAGCAGCGAAAATAAAACTTCAACAAAGTGATACTTTGTTATATGACTGGTAGAAAAATATATGAAATGATGGCTGCAAATTATACCGAATTAAAAGAAATCTGTTCTGAACATGTACAAATATAATTGTTATTACATAATTATTTGTATTTAACCATCACCTGTCACTGATTTTTCAATATTATTATTCAATATTAAATATTATTAAATATTATTAAATATTATTAAATATTATTAGATATTATTTAATATTATTAAATATTATTAAATATTATTAGATATTATTTAATATTATTAAATATTATTAAATATTATTAGATATTATTTAATATTATTAAATATTATTAAATATTATTAGATATTATTTAATATTATTAAATATTATTAAATATTATTAGATATTATTTAATATTATTAAATATTATTAAATATTATTAGATATTATTTAATATTATTAAATATTATTAAATATTATTAGATATTATTTAATATTATTAAATATTATTAAATATTATTAGATATTATTTAATATTATTAAATATTATTAAATATTATTAGATATTATTTAATATTATTAAATATTATTAAATATTATTAGATATTATTTAATATTATTAAATATTATTAAATATTATTAGATATTATTTAATATTATTAAATATTATTAAATATTATTAGATATTATTTAATATTATTAAATATTATTAAATATTATTAGATATTATTTAATATTATTAAATATTATTAAATATTATTAGATATTATTTAATATTATTAAATATTATTAAATATTATTAGATATTATTTAATATTATTAAATATTATTAAATATTATTAGATATTATTTAATATTATTAAATATTATTAAATATTATTAGATATTATTTAATATTATTAAATATTATTCAATATTAAATAACATTTTTGTTTTGAAGGTATATTACAAATACATGAGTTTTAAATAATTATTTGTAAGTTTTTAATGTATGATAATTTTGTAAACAATCTTCAATATGAAGGAGTGGTTTTCTGTTGCACATAAATATACTGTTGCTTTTCTTCTTCTGGGTAACTTACAATTAGAATATACTAAGGAATAGAAATTAAGTCCTGCTTTTTATGTAATATGAGTTACATAAATATATACAAAATTTATCTGGAGCTTCAAAGCGTTTATTTATTATTTTCAGTAAAATAATTTAAGGTAATAACAATTCGGAAGATGATAGTGAATGTATCTCTTTCGAAATCTTCAATTGTTTTATGAGACTTAACAGAAGAAATTGTATCATATGAGTTTCAGTCCTAAATGCATACAAAATTTTCTTCGACTATAACTCAATTATTAACCCTTATCACTAATTTTTTTATACGTGACTCTCTTATAACTGGTTTTGATAAATATGCAAAAAATCTTCAATATTATAAAAATAACATTTTTGTTTTGAAGGTATACTACAAATATATGAGCTTCACATAATTATTTATCAGTTTTTCATGTATGATATTTTTTGAAACAATCTCCAACATGAAGAAATTATTTTCTCTTGTACGTTTTTCAGAAGTATAGCGTTGCTTTTCTTTCTTCTGCAATTTACGATTAAAACACTCCAAGCAATAGTTATGTTTTCTTTTAGTATTAAGTTGTAACATATATAGTTTTCCATCTAATCTATCCTCATTGTCTGCTGCTAATAGCGTTCTATATCGTACAGTTTCACTTTCTCGAAAATTAGAACTTCAATAGGTTCCATCATTGTCATCTTCCACCTGACGTGCGACCGCAGCGCCAAAGTAGTGTTGTCACGTGAGAGATGACTTACGACCCATAAGGGTTAATAGCAGTTTGTTCCGTGTTTGTGGAAAATATCGTTGCTACAATTTGATGTTAATAAGTATTTATCAATGAAT